AGTTGAAGAAGCTTTGAATCGACTTCCACAGCAGTGGTCTTCTTCTTCGCACACTCTGATTCACAAATTCAAACCAAAACTTGTCAATCCAGCTTCCAATCTTGAGATTTAGCTTCAAAATGAAGTTTCCGGCAAGTATCATAAACACCCAATCGAATTCACATTCTGATTTGAGGGATTTTAATTTGGGTGTGATTTTTGAGGGATTTCGATTTGGGATTTCTATATCTGGACAGATTTTTAGCTAGAGAGGACCGATTTTGGGTTTCAATTTGGGATTTCTAGCTATAGAGGACGGATTTTGGGCGTTTCACAGTTCTTCACATCGAGTCGATGTGTTCGAGATGAGAGTTTCGCTGCTTCAATCTCTGGACCGATTTTAGTGTTTCTTTTGTTATTTTAATTTCTAGCTTATTTCTTTTGTTATTTTAAAAGGTAATAAGAGCGACCCGGTCGCTGCAATTCATATTTAGCGGCGACTTCACAGTAGTCGCCACAATAAATATGGAGCCAAATTTTTAGTTTCAGCGGGAGTAGAAATTTTAGCCACTTTAGAGGCGACCCATAAATAGTCGCTACTAAATATATTCAAACTGTGGCGATTTTTAAAGTCGCTGCTGATAATATACATTTTGTAGCAACTTATAGGGTTGCTGCTAAATGTCGCCACTAATTATCCAATTTCTTGTAGTGTAAATTCGACCTCGTTCAAATTTATAAGTTAAAATTGACTTCGCCCAAGTTGGCAAGTCTAAATTAGACCTCGTTCGAATTTATAAGTCAAGATTGACTTCACCCAAGTTGACAACTCAGAGTTCGACCTCGCTCGAATGTACAAGTCAACATTGACTTCGCCCAAGTTGGCAAGTCAATTCGACCTTATTCGAATATACCAATCAAGGTTGATTCCGCCCAAGTTGGCAAATGAGAAGTCAACCTCGTCCGAACTTGCAAATCCGAAGTGACCTTATTCGAACTCACGGTACGAAATCCGACTTCACTCGAATCAAGCAAACTGGATCAGCCCTCATGCGAATTTCTAATTAAAATTTTAAGGACTCGTCACGGAGAAATCCGTAGATCTTCTCCTAGGAAATGAAAAAATATAAACGAGAGAGAAGGAAAAGGAAAGTCAAAAGATAAACAAACAAAGGCGAAACAACTGCCTTATTCAAATGTACGTGTGCAATACTCTCACTTTACAAAAGGCCAAAACAGACCCTCAAGAAAAAGATGAAAATAAAAAAAAGATAAAAAAAATAAAAAAAGAAAACTAAGTACAGAAGCTGCAATACCAACACCGCCGCCATTCTCCCCAGCATCATCATCATCAGAAGGAGGTCCATCCTCAATACCAACACCCTCACTAGCCTTCGGTGTTACAGGATCGTGACCGCAGGCAATACGAGCCTCGGTGCCTTCGCCCGAGCATCTTCAAAGGCGTCCTCAGGAACGTTTCATGCCTCTCACAAATCTTTATATATATCACGTTCGGCCACATGATGGATCCATAGCTCATACAGGCAGGGGGGGAGGGGGGAACAACAGCCAATGCAAATTTTTGAGACGGAGCTTGAGCCAATAACTGCACCTTCTCGGCTACTAGAGCCGCAACCCAGTATTCCAAGCTCGAAGCATCACGATCGAGTTCACCTATTCGCTCCTCAAGCCGTGCCTCCCTCAGCATGGTCGTCGCCCTTTCAGATTCGTGCTCGGACTTGAGGACGTGGAAGTGTCTTCTAGTGTCGTCGCCCTCGCTAAAGACGACACTCGAGCACCCTCGACTCTCTCCAACTCGACCACTTTCCTTTCCAGCTCGTCCACCTTCTCCGCCCATTCTTCACTGAGAGTGTCGACTTTAGTAGCATTTTGCACAAGCTCAGCTCATAAAGACAACACCTTCGCCTAAAGGTCCTCACATTCCGCGGCAACCCCTTTGCCCACCTCAAGCTCTTCGTCCTTGGCATGAAGCAACTCTTCAAGCTAACTGCATCTATAGATAGACCGCATCAGCTCCTCATCTCTTTTCTCCAACTCCTTCCTAATGGAATAGATACTAGTGCCCGCTCGAAGCTGCTCGTGTATCTCACGACATCTATTGCGATACCGCCGATACTTCTCGGCCATTTTCAGAAACATCCCGGCACGCGTCTTCACCCTATGAGCACACTCGACCTCCAGCATGTAAGTCTGAAAAGGAGAGAGGTAAAAGAGTTAGTATAAAAACAAGTCATAAAATAAAGAAAGCAAAAGGGAACTCACTGTTAAGGCCATCGCTTCCACACCGCATGACAACTCAAAATCATTGACCTCCTGAAGAGATTCGCTCTCAGCGGCGGAGCATAGAAGATCGAAATGTTGTACCAACTCAACCGTGTCTTGCAACAGGTTGAGATCCGATGGAATTTCAAGTATTAGAGAAGGGCATTCCACTCTTACCGCAGTTCGGGTAAAACCCTCCTCGAACATCCTCATGTCCTCAGGGTTAATGTCAGATTCGGATTCATAATCCTCAACTATGACGCCTTTCCCTCTCTCATTGGCCGAAGAAGGGGTGCAGTTTGGCCAAAAAGATGATGGCCTGCTCGGAACAACAACAGCAACCTCGGAGCTTCGTCCCTACGTCATAATAGTCTCTCAAACGCTTGAAATAGGCATCACCTCTGCATCCAAGTTGGCACACTGCCGGTCTCGGGGGCCGTCGACGCAAGGTTGCCCCTCGAGGGTGTTTTGGCTAAAGAAGCCCCTTCCAACACTACCCTTCACCTCTTCAATGGGGTTTGTCCACTACCAACGCAAGAAGGTTCCCCTGTTGAATGGACTGCGGGAACCGGAGTCTCCGGTTGAAGAGTAGCCTCCTAGCGTACGGCTTTGGCCGCGGGCGCGGCCTGATGGGCGACCGGATTTTCTATGCCCTCGCCCGCAGTAGCTCTTGATGCGGGCCAGGTAGAGAGCATCGGTTGATGGAACGCGAGTGGAGGAGCCCTCGTCCTTCTTGCTCCTCTCCGACCTGTCAGTAAAGAGGGATTTGGTCACATAACGACAAGATAAAAAAAAGCTATGAAGTAAAGAACAAAACGGAACTACAACGAACCAACTCACTAGTAAGTGGCTTGCGCCCAAACTTCTCATGAAAAGACTCCCACTTGTAAATCCCCATCGTGTGGGGAAGAATTGCGCTCACCCACTCATGGATATCGACAACAAGCGGGGGAGTAGCTTCTCGGCTACAAAAATAAAAGTAGATCCTTAGTGAAGTCATTAAAAGGAGACAGTCGATGTCCAACTGAAGAAAAATTGCACAAATTAAACAGAAAGGAGAACTTACGAGCAAAATTTCACGTCTCAGGAAACCCTGCCGGGTTCGATACGACATGCTCCGTTCGGACGTAAAAGTAGTTTTCCCCAAAGCGGCGGTTGGTCTTGTTGTCCATCTTCATCACCAAGATCTTGGTTCCTTGATGGCGCATGTGAATCATCGTGCCCCGAAGAAAATGGGGGGGGTGAAGAGGTGGAGCATATGCCCTAGAGATCGGTCGGCCAGCTCTGCATACTTGATGAGCATGAGGAAGAGCTTATACGCGTACAGGGAGAGTTGATCCAGGCACACCTCACAAAAATGGCAAAAATCAACCACCAAAGAAGGAAGGGGAAGCGTGTACCTGATTACAAAAGGGTACGCGTAAAATGCACAGTAGCCCGGGCAATGTAAATGCACTATATCCTTATCCATCGGCACCATTTCAATATTATCGGGGATCTCCCATTTGGCTTTAAACACCGTGATCGCTGCAGTATCTATCGTGGAAGGAACGGGCTTAGGTTCATCCCTGGCAAGGCTGTTAAAATCGGTCCTCACCTTCCCCGGGAGGGGAACCACCTAATCTACCGTCGGAAATCCCTCATCTTCCACCACCTCCACTCCCTCTTCAAGAAGGGATGCATCATTCTCCGGCACTAGAGCACCTAAAGCATTATCGGAGTAGAAAGAAGTACCGGCCATTTGTTTTCTTTGATCAAAAGTAGCAAAGATGATGAATTAAAAAGACAATGGTCACTACAAATTCTAACGGGAGGAGAGATATGAGAGACTAAGGAAAGAGGAGAAGACTTGTGAAATTCTCGCTTAAGCAATTGAGTTACGTAACATTCAAATGAGGAGCTCATCCCTTATTTATGGGGATATAAATTCCCTAAGAAGTAAAACGAAGAGCCACCAAATAGAAAACGGAAAGGGCACAGGAAACGATACAGTATTTGGAAAACATGTGACATAATGACGCATGGGGAATGTTGATGACACCCTGAACTGACGTGACAGTCCAATCTTGAACTAACATATCGGTCCGACACAATTCTCGAAGCATCACGTCGCTACCTCGCCATGAGGTTCTCACCCCTCGCATAGAGCGCTCAGATTTTTCCATTTTGGAATCAACAGGGTCCACTTATCGAGCTCGCCAATAGGCGACCCCAACGGGTGAAGGCACTAACTGTATGGGTCAAAATTTGACCACACGTGGATTAACGTTAACAAAAATGGTAAGAGGTTAACTAAGTCGTGGTCGTACCCACTAGATGTAATAATAACGAATACCTCGGCCACCGTTGAAATCGAGCCATCAAAAAGCCTGTATGGCGAAGAAAATATCATGGTAGGTGAGGGAGACGACTTGAAGTACAGTCAATGGATGAAGGCACTCTAGTTAAGGACCAATGGACAAAAGGAAATACTCTGACAATATATAGGAGGTGAGAAGACAAGTGAGGGTGGCTTTCTTCTCTCCCAGAAGGAGAAGAAGAGAAGAAAACCATGAAAAGGTTAGATAGGGAAAAACAAATCTCTGTAATCAAATTCTTTGAATTAATAAAGTTCGATCTTGTCCTCATCTATGGCATTCCATCCTTTCTTTCTTAATCGCTTCATCATGGGATAATATGTCAAGAATGTAAGCCTATCATTTATATTTGATACCTTATGAAGTTTATAAGTTTGATCATATCTTATCCTTTTGTTCAACGCGCTTAGATCTAGAATTAATTATTCTTGACTAAGATTTATCTTTTATTTCATCATTAATTAATTTAACAAAAGCTTTAACATTTTTTGGTCAAACAGTTGCATCGCCTTAGGAGACCATTTTTAAGCATGAACAACAGATTTTCGGTTCAAGAGATTTTTTATGCAAAATTTGTTTAAAGGAATCTTTTCAAAAAATATGTTAGTAAAATTAATTAAGAGAAGAGTATATCAGAAAGGACAAATTAGTCATATAAAATTCATAAAAATTACAATAATAAAGTTTAAGGAAGTGCTACAAATAAAATAAAATAAGGGAGGTAGGCATAATATCACAAACCACTAGGGAGATTACTGTAACAAAGCCAAATCTATGGGGAGGTCTCTGAAATTAACCCTTAGTTTATTTATTCCATGGGATCCTCAGCCGTCCGAAAAACAAAATAAACAAAATTATTTTTTCTCATATGAAAACTGAATACATTAAAAATCTAGTTAGAATGGTTAAAAAGCAATTGTTGGAGATCATATTTTTCATCGACTAATACAATAGTCATAACAAAAATTGGTGCAATTTCACAAGTGAGGTTTGAGTAAAGTATTACGTACATAAATCTTATCCTTATTTTGTAAAGATCAAGAGTTGTTTTTTATGATCTTTTGGCTCAAGAAACTATTAAAGAAAATAGTACTAACAAACAACAATAACAACCAGGTAATAAGATAACATTAGCAAACGTTAATGTGGTTATGTTTTGCATATTGGTTACGGGTAAAGAAAGAATCCAAGTGTCTTTAAATAGGACTACTAGTTAATAGTAAATCTGAAAGTCCCGATTCATGAGTAATCTACATCAAGTTAATATTGCAACTACTTCATCACTGGAGATGTCACATATTACAGAATTGCTGAATAGAAACATTCAGCTAAAAGAAAGCTGAATATAAGTTGCAAAATTATCAAATCAAGAGTACTCCAAATAGAATTGAATAAATTGACTTGTAAATTTTTCAAAAATTCCACATCAAAGTTGAATACTTACCCAAATAAAGTTATTGCACCAGAACCTACTAAATATTCCCAAAGATATAATATTATAGTTAAAATCAAATACATACAAAGATTGATTCAAGTAAATACTCATCTGTGCATACAACCAAGATATGTACTTTTTCATGGAAGATAAAGTTATGACTTGTAGACTTGACTCGTCCTCTTCTTCCAAAATATAGCAGTATAAGATCCACATGTATAAATAGTAGCAAGAATGTGAAGGCCGTAAAACAGAGTAGTGGAAAAAAAGATGCAATTCACTATATGACACTAGTTCCATCAATTTCAATCTACTCCATAGTTTATTCATTTCGTTGACAAAATCAAAAATTCTCAAATGAACTTAACTGGTTGCGCATTTAGAATTACACAGTAGGTCCAACTCTACTAGAAACATGTACAACAGTCATGCCATAATTACCTCTTTTTCTCCATCTCATGTTTCACTGTATTAGCAAGAGTTCTCTCTCCACACTTGCGATGTCCTGGGAAAAAAGGAGGCAAGTATAATTGGTAGCACAGATAATTCAAGAGCAATTACACACAAATATACAAGTGGAACTACGAACCGGCACTAGAAGCTTATAAAAAAGTAGTGAATGAATGATAATTGATAGTACAAATAAGGCTTTATGAATGTGTCTTTTAGAGGCTTCCCCACCTACTGGTTTTTGCAGTAAGGCTGTCGTTTGCAATTCTTCGAGAGAAATGATGCTTCCCTCTTGGGAAAATTCCAGAAAAAAGAGATATTTATTTGGGAAGTTTTAAGAAATTAGGCAGCTCTTAAGGAATTGATAAAAAAGAAATGAAAGTGATGTTTACAATCATATGAACAAGTTCATGCACACTGCTGATTCCAATCTTCATAATTTTACAACAATGGGAATAATGGTTACGATGATTTAGTTGGATAAGGGGCAGTGCTATTCTTTTAATACAAGATTTCGACTATTGGCCAGTGGCCAACTGGCCATTAGCACTTGAGATGGTTATAAGGTTATAGCCTTTAACAGGTTCACTTGAAAATGTGAAGTTTAACCACCATATTACAGGGTTACATGAGTATGCTTCTCCTAGTTAAAGATCACGAAAACCATATTATATCAGGAGAATTTGAAACAATGAAGTAAGAAGAAATTCGTCTGCATCCTAGCCTATTTGCTCTAGTATGCAATAACAATTTAAACAAGTTCTCTTAAATTAATGTCTTTACTCTTTACTGAGGCTGAAAAGGAGAATGCTTCTACTTCTTTCACAATAAATGATAAAAGTTTAAAGTTTATTTAATTCTAATAAATTAGAAATTGAGAAGTAGCTAGGAAACAAGTGAACTCACAGTGAATTAGAGTTCTTCTGCAATGAGGAAGCATTTTCAGCCCTTTTGCATAAATACATTGGATTAATGTTGCACATGGGAGGAAAGTAAAACAGGAAAACATAAAACAGAATAGGCTAAGATCACTAACAGTTGATATTCTGTATGTTAATGTATCAGATCGCTTAAATAATTTGAAATTTGATTATCACAATGAGATTTAGTGGAGAATTTAGCACTTTCTGGATTCGATGACTTTTCTTCATCTTGTTAGCATACAAATATACTCTAAAAGTTTTGCTCAATGCATCGTCTAAATTTGGATCCAAAGAATGGTACAAAATCCTGCAGTTAGGGACATAGCACTCGGAGAAATCAATAATATGGGTGGAAATGTGAGGCACAGATCAAAGTTATAGGAATACTACCATGACGTGATCAACATTGCTTTCTTTTACTGATTAGCTCTCTTTTTTCCCCTCCCCCACATGTTTCTGTCCTTGAGAACCTTTTATTAAAAGTATTCCCCAAATTGTAATTCATACCAAGACATGTTTGATCATGTCTATATACCTTGGCCACAAATTGATTGTATTTTCGTGTACTCCTTTCAAGGATGCATCACAGGCATATGTTCCTTCGCCAACATTGCTTCTTCGTTAATTTTTAGTCTTTTAACAGGTAGCATAGTCTTTTTTTCCTTTCAGTTTTTTGTTGTCATTTTTATACTTAGTAGTATGTTAAGTCAGTGTCTAGAGACGCATTAAGTAACTTGATTACTTTAATGCTGATGCAAAGGTACTGGAGAATAAAATATAGGCACTTGAGGAGACATATATAAGGTATAATGTATATGGTTTAGAATATAGAAACCAGTTAAACAAATCTACTACAGAATATATTCAGCTATAAAGTCAGAAGTTTTTATTTTAAATCAGAAATCGCGCGATAGGAATTGGTTAACAACTCTAACACAGTTTTCTTTCAGAATAACAAAATGAATAGGAGCAGGAAACCGAACATCCACATATAAAATGCATAGGGTTAATTCAAGAACCTCAATATATCACGAAACAAACATAAGTGAAATTTGAATCAAAATACTCACCGATGAATGTGACTTTTGCTGTAATGTGAAAAACCGCCACTACCCAGTTAAAGAAAGTTTATCTTAGCACCTTTTATTTAAAAAAGATAGCTTGCACAAGTAACTTTGCAATAAAAAATCTCGCACCATATACAAATAGAAGAAAAATGGAGAAACTCCAAAAGAGTGAACAACCAGTAGATAAAGGACACAATCAGCGCTTTTAAATAACAAATATTCACACTAAAACCCCCATTAAAACAACTAAACTCATAACAAAACCAAAATCAGAAATTAAGGATATGCACCTAGAAAATTTTAGCAAGCATAAGGTAAAATCTGAAGAACATATAAATTCAGAGAAGCCCAGAAGAATTGAACCATTCTCTAAAAGAAATATGACATCCTGAACTTCTCATTCAACTGTTGAAGTAGAAAAGCATGAAGAAAATAACAGAGTAGCGAAAGAGAGAAATAGAGATTTTGTAATTTAAAAAGTTACATAAGCACGACGATCGACATACTTGTGGATCATGGCATAGCAAGCTCCCTCTTTTTACTCCCAGAGACACAAAGCATTGGTTCAAGCTGCACCTCTCAATTTTCAAACATAAATGCTAAAGAAATGAATATAGATAAAACAGAAAGTAACTTACAGTGAGATGTGGGAATCAAAGTAACACGTCCAAAGAGAGCTCCGCAAAGCTAGAAGCAGCCTATTCCTTAGGAGCATCACAACCCAAAAAATATAGCCAAAGCAGATGCCAAAAACTACATCTATCCCAATTTCAAAAAGCACAAATATACCAATAAATAAATAAATTTTAGTCACGATCTGCTTGTGAATCTAGAATCAATAGAAAGAAACGTAATATTTTTTTTAAAAAAAGAAGGTAAAGTGGAAATACCAACCAAATAAGACATGAGACCATTGATTAGAACTGTAATCGAGCTATAAGTACTGATGTGGATGAACCACACTATCTTTATTTATAACCTGCAAGAAAATAGTTAATTTGATGCCCTAGTTTTTGCTTTGAGAAAGTTGTCGACTCTGGTTAGGTTAGGACCTCCTAACTAAAAATCTAAATCGAAGCATTCAAGGAATTAAAACCCAAAACTAGAAACAACTAAAACTAGAGATGAATGAGCTTACAATTTCAAGCCATATTAGCAGCAACACTGGAAGATAAGGTTGTCGCTCAATTGAACCTCCTAACTCAAAGCACGAGTCCAAGGGTTGAACGAATTGAGGAAGGTGAAACCCAAAATAAAAATAAAAAGGGGGAGGGATTCGACGGGAAGTTTCCCGCTTTTGTTATTGATGAAAATTGAGAAAGACTAAATATGCTTTAGGCCACAAGTCAAACAAATTGTTGAGAGAAATAAGTATTTTACCAACAAGAAAATACTTTTGGCAACATTGACAACTTATTGTTGCTAATTTATTTATATTTTAAAATTGTTATATTACCCAAAAAGTTATGGCAACAAAATTAAAACGTTAGCCAACAAGAAATTTTTTGTGGGTTAAATTTCTACGATATAGCAACAACTAAATAGAGTTGTTGCCATTTATTGATATTTAGCAACAATATAATTGTTGTCGCTAAAAAGTTGTTGCAAATTATATACTTTCTTGTAGTGGGTTTTTGGTACCATACTTCCTATTGGTGAATTCAGCTAGGTTTTTGGTACTTTTGATATATACGCTTCAAATCACATTGCATACCTTTGACCCAAAAAAAAAAGTAGAATTTTATTTCTTTTATATACAAACTTACTTTAGATTAGACATGCATCTTGAAGCTTGGAAACAGGGGCTGAGGCACACTTGGGTTAGGGTGACTGACCACCCTTTATCGGAAAATTACATTATTTATGTAGGTAAAATATTATATTTTAGAGGTACATAATATGTATTAAAACCCTTTGTCGAATTATTTTTTTTACTTATTTTCCCACTTACAAAACTCCAACATAATTTCAAATTCCAAATATTATTTTTCAAATTAACTCCAAATACTACTTTTGTCGATAAAGAAAAGGTACAATTTTTATGTTCAAACGCCCAGTTACAGTTTAAGATAGTCTCGCTCGTTTAATTTCAGTTTCACGCCAAAGCATTTGTCCTACTTTCTAATCTACATGTCTCTCTCTATACTCTTCTCTTTTTTACCATTTTAAATTAACTAAACAATTAATCATAAACTCAGTAAAAGTTTCATTACAATGAATCCGAAAATAAAAGGTTTACAACTCATGCAAGAAGATAATTTTAATTTTGGTGTGTTGACAATAATCCCTCCTTTTCAGTTTAACTCCAAAGAGATTTATTTTTCATTGTCCAAAATCATTTATTTTAACATCTTCAATTCATATGAGGCGAAGAAAGGGGCCTTTTTTGTACTGTCGAGATATACATCTAAATACACGAAATTGGGTACCCCTGCAAGGGAAGAATTTGGTGATCAACATTCTGGGTCAGGGACCTATATTGGTTCCAGATAAACAATATTTTCTAATAGAGAGTTGGAAAAAGTTGATTAATATTTATCAGACTGTGAAACAATCTTCACGGGAGGATAGGCTGTGGGTTTTTGCAGTTGTTGTTGAGTTTGTATTACGTTGTGATGAGCTTTTTGCTAGATCTGTGTGTTCTAAAGAAGACTGTACCATGCTCCAAAATGATTTCTCAATCCAATGCCTTTTGCTTTATCAAGTGCAGCCAAAAGATTAGTGCCAAAATGGAGAGTTGAAGTACCTTCAATTAGCTGTGTTTTTTTTTTGGGAGATATTGATGAAAAACCAGTGAGCATTCCGGTTCCAAATTCTAAGCTTTTGGATGTGATACGTGGTTCTACTTTAATTTCAAGTTGTGAAAACATCGTTGTTTTGAATTCATCCCATTTGGTATTATTGTCTTTTTTCTTTCAGTCCTTTATTTGTTTAAGTAAGCTACCGTTAGATTTGATATTAATTATTTGTATATGCAATATTATCTGTTTTTTGTCTTCAAATATTGTTACAAGTTTATACTAGCGAAGAACGCAAATCACAATTATTGAAGATACTAATTATTAATGGTCTAATTGTGATGATCCAAAAGGTCATCACTTGTTTTAGAAATAAATTTTGTGTTCTGAGACCTTAAAACCTTCCTTTTGTCTCACTTCGGTTTGCGTGCACAGTCCGGATGTGTATCCGGAAAGCCATTATGTGAAAATCTGTGACAAAATAATGAATTTTGCTTTAAAAATAAATTTAGGTTGATTTCGGTCAATATTTTGGGTAAACAGACCCGGACCCATAATTTAACGGTACCGTAGGGTCTGTAAAAAATATTAGACTTGGGTGTATTCCCGGAATCGAATTCCGAGGTACCAAGCCCGAGAAATAAATTTTGAAGAAAATTGTTTAAATGAAATTATAGCGTTTTTGAAAGATTTGAATTTTATTGAATTTGATGGTATCGGGCCCGTATTTTAGTTTTGGAGTCCGGTATAGGTGTTATATGTGATTTAAGTTGAGCCTGTAAAATTTGGTGAGAAACGGACTTGAAATGACATGAATCGGACCTTCAGTTGTTAAAATTTGAACTTGAGAGTTCAGAAGATTTTTCTTTGATTTTGATGCTAAATTCATAGTTATTGATGTTATTTTGATGATTTGATCGCACGAGAAAGTCCGTATGATATATTTTGGACTTGCGTGCATGTTTGGTTTGGAGCCCCGAAGGCTCGGGTGAGTTTTTGATATGTCACAAAGTGAAATTTGGACTTAGAAAATTGTTGGTGTGTTGCAGGCCTGCAGGCTTTGCGAAGCCTGGCTCGCAAATGCAAGCTCGCAAATGTGAACTTTGTATCGCAAATGCGAACTATGGTCTGCACTGCCTTGGTCGCAAATGTGATGTATTTATCGCAATTGTGATACCGCAAATGCGACAGCAGCATTGCAAACGCGAAGAGAACAGGAATCCTCAGGGTTCGCAAATGTGAACCCCTGTTCGCAAATGCGAAGAAAGCAGGTTTCTTAAGGGTTCGTAATTATGAACCCTGGTCATAATTGCGACATTAGAGACCTGCTAAAATGAATTTCAGACGGGATTTCAACCATTTTTATAACCTTTTCAAAACCTAAATACCTTTGGGCGATTTTTCAAAGACAACTACTCTTCCAAATTAATTGTAAGTCATTTCTAACTCATTTCTTTCAATCTATTCCATCTTTTACATGATTTCAACTCAAAATTAAGGGTTTTCATGGGAAATTTTGGGTGTTTTGGGCATAACTTAGGATTTTCGAATTTTTGGGATTTGGACCTCAATTTGAGGTCCGATTTCAAAATAAATTATATATTTGAGTTCGTGGGGGAATGACTAATCGGGTTTTGGTTCGAACCTCGGGTTTTGACAATGTGGGCCCAAGGTCGATTTTGACTTTTTGGGAAAAACTTTAGAAAACCTATTTTCAAGCATTAGAATTGATTCATTTAGCATTTATTGATATAGTTAAGTAACTTGTGGCTAGATACAAGCGAATTGGTAGTGGAATTAAGAGGTAAAGCTGTAGTTGAGGCTTGAATTGTGTTCGTGGCATCGACGTAAGTGTTTGGTCTAACCTTAGCTTGAGGGATTAGGAGTTGTGTCCTATTTGCTATACGTTGGTGTTAAGCATGCCCGTGAGTCTTATACTATGATTAATGTGACTCTGTTTGTATTGTTCATGCCTTATGTGATGATTTCTATTGTTGAACAAGGCTTGCGGAAGTAATATTGGTATATGAATATTAAAGAGCGTTGGCTCAAGTTGTAAAATGATTTGAGGAAATGTAATTGGCAATTGAACATTATAGAGCATTGGCTCAAATTGAGAATTGAGTTGTGAAGTAAATGTGAAAAAGGAAAGAGGATTATGATAGTGTCTCCCTTGCCAGAATGTTGTTGTTTTAATGTTATCTCCCTTGCCGGAATGTTATTGTTTTTTATATTGTTTCCCTTGCCGGGATATGATTATTGTACTATGGTTTCCTTGCCGGGATTTTATTGTGATTTTATTGATTCTCTTGCCCTTATTGCTTTGTGATTGTTGTTTGGGTAAGGAAGAGTGTTAAAGCACGAAGGGTGATGTCGTGCATGATTTTTGTGAGAGAGTGTTAAAGCACGGAGGGTGATGCAGTATATGATATTTGTGAGTGTTAATGCACGAAGGGTGATGTCGTATCGCACGATGTACAATTCTGTGCCTTTATATGAGTGATAATGCACGAAGGATCATTTCGTGCCATGTTTATGTGAGGTAAAAGCACGAAGGGTGATATCGTGCCAATTATATTGATTTTATGGTGAGTACGAGAGTAAAAGCACGAAGGGTGATGCCAATGCACTTGTCCTTGATTTCCTGATTTCGACTGATAATTGAGTTATGGTGCTCTTTACATTTAACTGTTGATTTCTGTTGCTACTTGTTGTCCCCCACATCATGACTCCTCCTTTCTATCTTTAATTGCAAAGTTTTGCCTTTACTTTTCGTTGTATATAATGAACTGCACAGGTTTATTTGGTAGTCTGATCCTAGCATTGGCACTACTTTGCCGGGGTTAGGCTAGGCACTTACCAACACATGGGGTCGGTTGTGTTGATACTACACTCTGCACTGTGTGTAGATCTCGGTACTGAAGCATACAGACCTTAGCTTTGGGAGTCTCCTTCTATCCTTTCATCATGATTCATTTATGTATTTCAGAGACAACGTTGTATTTGTTTTTCAGACACTTATTTGTAGTACTCCTAGACCGTCTGTAAAATTGTAACACCAATTCTGGGTAGTTTATGTTTAAGGATTTGTATTGGTAATATTCAAATGGTTATATTTTGTTCTTCCGCTTATTAAATCCGTTATTTATATAATGTTGATTCTTAATTGTTAAAGGATTAAAATGGGAAAAAGGTAAATAAATATACAAATGATTGGCTTGCCTAGCTTTTACTAGTAGGTGTCATCACGACTCCCGAGGATGGAAAATCTGGATTGTGACACTAATGATGTTTTCCCTTCCGATGGAGTGAGGAATAGGTGCATACTAACATAATAACTCGAGAAATATATAAAAGACAACGTGAACTTTGATGAATATATGAGATATACGTTACTGCTTCTGCCTCATACGAATCGAAGATGTTAAAAATTAATGATTTAGACAGTGAAAAATAAATGTCTATGGAGATAAATTATAAAGAAGGGATTATAGTCAACACTCACACAGCAAAAAAAATTACTTCTTGCATGAGTTGTAAACCTTTTATTTTCTGACTCAATAACAAAGCTTTCACTGAGTTGATGCTTACTTT